CCCCAAAAACCCCAAAACCCCAAAACCCCAAAACCCCTTACTAATTTTAACGGCAAATAGAGTTATTAATGACAAAATAATAAATTTATTAAAACAGCCTCTAATAATTATTTAAGCATAGATATTTATTGTTTTAAATATCAAAGCTTAGCCTTTACTTTTTATCTTTCATTCATTAACTCTAGTTTTGGATCTAACTTATAATATCTCTCAATATACTTCATAATCTCGTCGTAGTATTGTTGATCGAAGTACTAACTATCTCTCAGTTTATACTTTGTCAAAAGCTTATCACAATGTGAGTTAATGAAGTTCAGAAATTCTGTCTTAGTAGCAACATTATTGCTTGAAATAATATCCTCTTTGCCATTTTGATACATGTGCCAGTAATTGTAAAGATTGTCAAAATAACTGGAGGAGACTAAAGATTTATAAGCAATAGCTCTAATCTCATAAATTTTACCCATATTTGATATATATTCAATTAACTCCTCAGGAGTGTTATCCTCTAATCCGATACAATCTGCCAGTACTATCATTTTATTGTTCATTTTCTTTCTCTTGATATTCATATAAAAGTAGAGATCTTCTTAGCTTAGTTTTTGTCCATTTTTTACGGTAGACTATGCCTTTATGTATATATCTCTGGAACTTATTAGCGACTGAAGAATTGATATGAACTCATCATAGATTTCCTACTTTAAGATGGAATTGTTAACATCCGCATTTAAGTAGACAATCAGATTAAATGTGATCTCTTGCAAAAGAGAGTACCCTACTGGAATAACTAGATTTTAAATGCTGTTTTCGTTTTATGAAGATGGGATGTGACTTTTAATTATTTTGTGAGCCTCTTCTCTAGGAATGTCTTATTATAATTGATCTATCATTATTTCTACGAATTTTTAGGTCTACTCTGGCTCGTACTCCATAAGTTTTGAGAGTAGGAGATTAGCCAGAATTGTAAGTAGTTTTATTCTGTATTGAGTCAGGATTAAATCCTATTTAATAGGTATCTTTTTAGTGAAGCTGATTGATTTTAACAGGCCAAGGAATTATGTCATCCATTATACACCCTTATTCCATCCAAATAAGAGTGTGTTTAGCTTAGTTTCTGATTCTGAGAGTTTTGGGTCATTTTCAAGACTTAAATGATAGGTCTTCTATGTTTTGCAATCTAATAGAATAGTGATTATTAGTGGCTCAGGAAGGAAATCCTCTCTAATTTCAACGTAAAATGTACTGAGATCTTTTGCTTGGCCTATTTTCTAATGTGCTTTAAAAAGCTAATGACCCTTAAGATAGGTTTAAGCTGCCTTGGCATTTATTTTGTTTCAGAGCTTCATGAATTCAACAGTATCGTTGACTAAATCTGTGGGAACTCCTGCAGAAATTGCCACGTTTCTAGCATGCAAATTCATATGGCCTCTTTATATACCTTCTATGCTTAATGCCCTTAGTGCAGCTAAGTTTTAGGCCAGTCCAACTGAAATCATAATTTAAGCCAGGTCTTATGAGGAAGGGTATCCTAGTATTTAATGAGTATTGATATATGATGGGTTTGTCTCAATCGCTCCTCCCTTAGTTCCTACAGATATTGGTAATTCCAATCTACCATGAAAGTATTCACCCTGAATCGAGTATCTAGTTAAAGGCATGTATCGGCCTCCTATACTTGCATATGAATGAGCAGCTGCTTCAATAGCTCTCCAGTCTTAACCCATTGCGATAGCTACAGCATCTATTCCATTCATTATACCTTTGTTATGTGTTGTGGCTCTGTGCTAATCTAGCTCTGCGAATCTTTAAGCTTCTATGATTTTTTCAACTACTTCTTAGCCTTCACTTTTCTTCCATGCCATATTCTTAATAGGTACCTTAAACTCAGCCATCGTCAATCTCTCTGTGCAAAGATTACTGAGGATTCTAATAGCAACTCTTCCTTATCCTAGCAATTATTGAATAAAAGGTGATGTGTTCTCAGCAATTGTATTGATTACGTTAGCTCCCATGCTCTCTTGCACATTGACCAATAATTCTACAACTAACATCTCTTAATCAAGCTTCCTTACTCTAATATCTTCTACACCACCACCCCTTTTAACCATGTTTTCGCAATAGATATTTGCATGCTGTATTATTTCCTTCTTATTTATCTTAATTTTATAAACAGCATCTTAGTAATCTTTGATTTCAGTTATTTATATCTATGCAATCATTACTGGTGGAGTAGATTAGCAAATGAATCCTGAGCCTTTCTCAGCAATTATCTTAGCAATTGCACTACATGCAGCTATAACTGAAGGTTCTTCAAGTGCCATAGGCACAACTAGGTTTTTACCATTAACTTTAAAGCCTATACCAAGCCCCAAAGGCAGAGGTAATATACCGATACAATTCTCTATCATGTAATCTGCAGTTTCAGTTGATAGTCCTCCTTCCTGTAGCATTTTTGTATTTAGGTCTGGGTAAATTTTTGTCAACTATAAGGAATGGTTGGTTATTTTTTTGTAAGTAAGTTAAATTTGTGATTAAGAAAATCTTATTAAAGATACTTCTTTAATTAGTGGTTTATATAAAGATTTAATCCGAGTCAGATAATAATAAGATTAGATTGCGGATGAAGTCATAGAATAACTATAATACGTACCTCATAAAGTCATTCTTATATTGGTTTCTTGTGAAAATTAAAAGTGACTGTTTTAAGAATTGAACTGTCAATAATTTCCTGCTATTTTTATTGTGAAGCTGTAATGTGATTTTCTAAGGTCTTTAGCATTCTTGCTGTCTTTGAACTTTCCAGGACTGAATTAGTAGGCTGGAGTACTTATGGCTTCTTGATTGGGCCCTCCTTGACTGCATAGAATCTTCTGTATTTTTCATCAACCTTTGTCAAATAGAATGTTCCATCGAAAAGCTACTCAATTGATCCCTATAAACGTTAATAAGATTTATTGATATACCTATGGTTCATAGTTGCACTTTCCAAATGTTTTTTCTCTGTAAGCCATGAGCTGGTCAAACTCCTCTGGACTTACTTTCACTCTGTTTTCAAGTCTTGACTTGAATTCACTGGCTTTTTGGATATGTTTGTAATCTCCATTGACGTGGATCATGAACATGCTTGCAGCGCATCCTGACCCATAGCTAAACATCATGATTTTCTTTCCCTTCAAATCGATCGATGTATCTCCAATCAGACTTAATAACCCATTATAAAGACTTCCAGTGTAGATGTTCCCGAGATTCTTTGCTAAAAGCAAACTTCTCTCACATTTGTCTTTCCATTCTGCCCCATAGGCCTGCATAAGGATTTTTAAGGTTTTATCATTCATCTTGAAATCGTTTTGTCTAATCTGTTCAACCAGTTCAGCTGGGAATTGCTTCTCTTTGTACTCCTGAATATCTTGCAAAACTAAGTTAAAGAAGCATTTTTAAACCATCTTAGAGAAAGGAGTGTGGAAGCAGAAGTAATCAAAGTCTTGATATTTGGGCTCCCATCCTGAGTATCTCTGTCGGCACTTGGCTTTCAAAGACTTGTAACTTTGCTCTAGAGCGTTTAAGTACACGTTAATTGAAAGATGGCCATCAACGATGGGATATTCTGAGTCTATTTGAATATTAATTTGGAGTGATTCTTACTAAGAATAGGTTTATAGAAATCGTAGGCATTGTCAATAAAAGATGCCCTTACATCATCAAACACTAATGGTGCGTTTGGTCCAATAAGCATGGCTATTGAACCTATACCTCCAGTGGGTCTGGCTGAACCCTTGGCATACACAGCTACATCAGATGAGACTACGATACCAAGTCTGCCTATACATAATATATGAAGAGATTGTGATTCTTACCATCCCAGGCATTGCTTTACATCCAGTTGATGGTGTTAAATAATGCGTTGGTGGATCCATAGCAAGCATTAATAGAAGTGACTCCTTCAATATCGTGAGAACGACTAGGTGCAAACAACTGCATCAAAGTGGTCTTCACACTCTTACTTTTATCAATCAGGGTCTCTGTTCCTACTTCTAGTCTTCCAACTCGAGCTGGTTTAATCTAGTTCTTATCCATTAGTCTCTAGACACAAGTCAATGAGATTGAGTTCACATCTTCTCTATCATTAATGCATGCCATGTTTAATTAACCCAATCCTATTGTGTATTTTCCCTTTGAGGCTCCATCAAATATCTCCATTTCTTCTTGTGATACAAAAGTTGAAGGGAAATATATCTCAATTGCAAGAATACCAACGTTCTAAGCTCTTGGTAATTAATGTTTTGCTGACTCGACCATGTAGTTTAGTAATTTTGACTTATTATTAAAATTAGTATGGCTATTAGAAAATTTATTAATTTTTAAAATATAACATGAGTATAGAAAACAAGGATTTAGATCAATAATCGTAAAATTAGCCTTCTTACTTTATTCTGCCCGAGACCGATACACTTGAGTCGTAGACAAATACTCAAGCGTAACTATAAAATATTCCATAGTCTAATCCACCAACTAAATCTAGTCACAGTAACCCTTTCATTTACCTTAGACCCAAGAAAATGAAAGTACAGCCTGCTTTAAAACAACAGAATTATTAACATTAACAGCATGGAAAGGGGGGAGTTGGCACAACATCACCCAACTATTTTGCCTTTCAATCTAAAATTAATAGCCTTATTTATAGGCAAAATTAGACACCTAGCAATCCCTCTAAAGGTAGTCTGCAGTCTACAGAGATGCTGCCTGGTACTTTTAGCACTGAGCAGAGACAGCAGGATTTTGTAAATAATCTTTCTAATTCAAAGCCTTTCAAAAGACTTATGGATGAGCATCGAGGATCAATTACTGATAAGAAGCTAAATTTACCTTAAAAGCATATATCTGATTTTAAGCAAACCTTCTTTAATTCTAAGAAGCACTCCTTGACATAAGAGTAGAATTGCCAGAGGGACTTCCATGAAGCTGTTATCTCTAATGAAAGTTTTGGCAAATAAAATAAAAAAGTGGATACTGCAATAGGAAGTAATTAAGATGATATCGTAAGTAAAAAAGTTCTATTTTCAAATGTTAATAACGAATCGACAGTGGTAAAAAGTGTGGTAAAAAAAGAAAACTCTGAGGTAGTTAATCAGATACTTATAAAACAATTTCTGACTTCTCCTAAGAAAGCCTTTTACAATATGAAAGATCTCTATGAAAATTATAGTAAGTCTTGCAAGCTGCAAGAGAAAGTGAAATTAAATTAGACATAGCAGCCTTAAAAGAGCAATATGAGAGATTTCTCTTTTTAAGTTACTGATAATCCTGAGTAAGAAGAGGCGAAACTAAATGAAACTGCTGATAATAGTCACGATAGCACAAGACTGTAACTCTATGATAATACTCAAAGAGAGATATACTCTGCTTTCCCTTAAAAGCATAGGTCTGCTAATAATCGAAAATATTATGCAAGCAATAATATGAGTCAGAGAAATTCTGCTTCATTAGTATTCTCAATTCACACAGCCTCAACTAAGAATTAAAATCGTAGACATATAGATAAAGTCATAGCCTCAGAAAACTCAAGGAGAGATGTGCATCCATCAGCAGATGCAAGAAGCTACAGAGCTAGTCCTTAATCAAGTAGAGCATTCGATTATGTATCCACCTAGAATCACGTTGATGTGCATTTCAACATGATTGACTCAAGCAAAGCATAGAAATTTAAGAAAATCATAATTGAGTCTAGCGATCTCAAAGATACTTCCATTATGACTGATTTTAACTATAACATAGCAGGTGGTGGTTACTATGAATCTTCGAGCAGAGCTAAAAAAGGCCATACCAAGCCTAATAGCTGAGCAAAGTCACACAGAAGGCATTTCAGTTATGAATAGCAAAAGTAAAGCCAGAGTAATATATCTTCCTCCAACCAGTCTAAAAGTCCAATAAAAACAGCAAGCTAAATGTAGCAATTTCGCTTAAAATTACAAAAATTAAAGTAGAGTGAGAGCATAGGAAGCTAAGGAGCAATGGGAAGTAGAGGTCTTCACAAAAGAAGATCATCTTAGTTCAGCTCTGGAAAGGAATCAATTTAAAATTTCATTCAAAAAGCTTAGATTGCCCCGCAGACCCCGTGCCTTGAAAATGAAGCTTTAGCTTCAGCTTTGATGAAATAAAATTAGCAAGATAGGAACAATAATTTGAAGTATAGAAATAGTCGCAATTAAAGCTAGCTTGGTGTATTCACTTAAGGAAGTAAGTTATCACCTCAAAGCAGCATTCACAGTAACCATTTCTTAGCTTTTTCATCCAAGCTATCACCAGGTCTTCCAAAAAGCAGTCCATTAAAGCTATATCACTAGCATTCAGATCATCCACCTTAACCGTCTTCAAAGAAGTTTATGAATCATAGTTAAGACTAAAGTGCATATTCTAATACTCAAAGCAATAATTAAAGATAAAGAATTAATATGCAGAATTAGGGTTTAAGTGGCACTGGCTAGACTAGAGTGGTAAGTAACATGAATCAGCATTCAAAACTTCAGGACACAGATGAATCCATTTTTCTTAAGGAATCATCCAGATTTAACCTGGGCAAGCAGATCTCAGTCAAGTGTAATATGGTCAATGATTTCAAAGTATTCTAACTTGACACTACTTCTGACTATTCGAGCCGAAAACAAAGACATCAGCTCCAGCATATCAAGCCTCAAAACACAGGCATATCTTCCTAGCAAATGCAAGAGATAAACTAGACCAAAATATCTCAATTTATGAAAAGAATACAGTAAAGCAATCTTATGAACATTTAAAAGAGTGTCCTACCAGATGAAAGCAAAGTTAAGTACTCCAAAAATCATGGAAACTTAGTCAACATTATAACTGCAAGTCAGTTCGGTTAGTTATTTGCAAGCTTCAACTCCCCTGACAAGATTATGGTCAATGACTAACTAATTGGCAAAAATCCTTTTAAACAAAATCCTAATGATCCACATAGCAACATCAATATTATTAAGCTAAGCACATTTAAGAGACAAAAATTTGCCAAAAACGAGATAATGAGTGCTTAGATAGAGAGTAACTCACCTGATTTACTGTAAGTTGATAAGAGAGATGGATCCCCTGCTGAGTCTTATTCTAAGACATTGCTAAACAGAATAGTTGAAAACTAAAGTGATAATGATAAGAATATGGAATAGGATGAGGATGAGTACCCAGAAGAGACACTTGAGATGAATCCAAATATCAGAAGAAGCAGGTACTTTTGAGAAACTAAGATAATTATATGAATTAGTATTTAAAGGTCTACAATCAAATCGTTATAAATATTATCAAACTAGTAATACTATTTACTTATCTAAATAATTATCTCTATCGTTTTAATAATGATTGCTGGGGTTTTGGGGTTTTGGGG